TGGTCATCATTCATGACACCCAAGTTTCTCACCACCTTGGTTGGAGTGATGGTTGAGGAGTCAATTTGTAGTTTGATGTTATGGTGGATAGATTGCTAGACTGGAATGACCAAGAGTTCAGACTTAGAGGAGTTTAGTTGAAGGTGGCCTTTATCCATGCAGATATATATACAAGAGTCCGTCCGTGATCCGTGCCGAGACAATCTGTCAGGAAGGATAGGTAGAGTTGTATATCGTCTGCAAAGCATTAGTAAGAAAAAAAATCATAAGTGCTGATTGCTGGCAGACATGATTCCTACATTCCCTTTCCCATGAAAATAAGACGTGATTTAAAGTTTTTGTTCAGATGATTGATCATAACAGCAAAAGAAGGTATGAGTATGGAAAGTTTCCTCTATGAGCTGAAAAGGTCAAGTTATGCTAGAAAAGAAATAGCTCATTTGAAGTTATATGTGACCTTGTTGGAAATGTAAAGCATACGTGTAGGAGCCATTATACATGGACATGTCCCCCCCACATTTCAAAAGCTATGTTTTGTGTGTCTTATCAATTAATCTCAACTCCGCATCAGACATAAATAAACAGACATAGATAAATAAACGGTTAATTGGGCATTCTGGGCAGGGGCCCATGGACACTTGGGGCCCAAGTGTGAATCACTCTGAAGCAAATGTTAGGTGAGTTTTCTCATTGTAAGAAGTTAATGCCATCTATGTAAAGATGTAGTGTTCCTCTGCAGGTTATAATCTGAGTCCTCAGGCCATGAAAAGCATCATGTGGCGCTACAGCACAAACAGCAGAATCACCTTTGATGATTTCATGAGCTGTTGTGTAAGACTCAGAGCGCTGACCGGTGAGTGGGCTGAGGAAAGCATGAATCTGAGACAGCATTAAAAAGAAAAGGACAATAACTCCACTACTCAAACATTAACAGAACTAACACTGGCAGCTCATTGAGAGCTTTATTTAGTAGATATATCGCTATTTCAACACATTGCCTTTTTTACTGTTGGATCTCCTGTAGCTCAGCTTGTCCGTTTTTGACAGAGGACCTTTCTTCTACTTCTTTATTTTTTCTGAATGAAACAAATGTTAACTTCAAGATAAAGATAAGATGTGACCAAACAAGATTAGAAAAGCATTTAAAAGTTTTTAAAATGTTCATCAAGTAGGATGTTTTAATGTGTGTGTGTGTGTGTGTGTGTTTCAGACCAGTTCCGAAGGAGAGACACAACTCAAACTGGCAATGCCACATTTCAGTATGATGACGTAAGTTTCCTCTCACTTTTTCCAAAGCTTTAATGTTGCTTCTGCTACCAAACATCTGAGTCCGTCATCACTGCACATGAGAACCGGCTGGTTGAACTGAAGCTCCTGAGCTCCAGAGTCAATTATCTAGAACAAATGTTTAGTCAGGTAACTACCAGCAGGCTCAGTCTGCACGTCACTGATGATGGCAACATGGTTGCCATCACCCCCCTTGAGGATGGTTCCAGGGGGTTCCCAGCAAAAAAGGGCAATCATTTATTTTCTCTATAATTCCATCCATACAGTAACATAACGATCATTGGTCATTGTTTTCATACACTTTCTGTAATAAAACATCTAAATGCAAAAAATTCCTATCATATGGGGGTCTGTGGACTAATCTGTGTACATTTGGGGGTCCTTGATGTGAAAGTTTAAGAACCACTGCTGCAGACGGTTGCACACACCTACAAATAATAATGTACTTTACAGTGTAATATTATTAAGAGTACAGTTTAGACATGCCGCATCTGAAAAGTGTCTTGACATGGGCGCTGTACAATGTAAATGTATTTGAAAACTAACATCCTATTGCTGTAAGTGAACATTCAAATGAGTCTGAGAACAACCTGATGGGCTGGACAAAGATTAGAGGCTTATTGTTTTTTGTGTATACGTGGGCGCTGTATACGGGGAAAAAGTTAGGACATTCCAAGAATCCAAAAATAGGTTAAACACTAATATCAGATATATTATATATACATTATATAAACCATCATCACTGAGTATATATATTCATATATAATAAAAATTAAAGCTGCATGCAGCGT